TTTCCTTTTCCTTTTGGTGAAGAATAGCAACAAATTATTGTGTGATTTTTAAGGAATATAGATATTCCCTAGATATACATATAGAATCTGGTCCCTAGATATATAGAGATGTATGGAAAGATAGATATTTCATTGATTCTTAGTTTTTGGGCCGAAAAAGTTTGTCGATCTGAATGAATCATTCTTCTGATCTTCGCTGCCACACTGTAACTTTTTCTTAGAGAAATATTTTTGACCAACCAAATATGAAAAACAAAATGAAAATAGTATTTAGAAAATATTTTTCTTTATACACCAAAAACACCCTAAGAATCAACTTGGACACTATCTATCTTTAGGAAAAGAAAAATATTTGTTAATTGGAAACAAACGAATATGCGTAGTCAACTAAGTATAACTACGAAACGATTCCATCTTTTGGAAAAGTATTAGATCTAAGAAAAGTTGTCTCAATAATGAGAATTATTAGGGAAAACCATTTCACTTTTCACTAGTTTTTTTTATATGCATTAACTATTTAAGTTAGAACAAGAAACTACACCTCCATTATATATGTTTTTTAAAAAAAAAAAGAGAAATGTATATTTTTAGCCGCTCCCGAAAATAATATTCGACAAAATAAATATTTTATATATATATATATATATATATATATATATATATATTATTGGGTAACACTTACGAAATATTACCATACCAGCAAAATCAATTCAATACACCTAAAGAGCACTCATAGTCTTGACCCCTTCCAGGGAAAATACATATTTTATACACTTTTTAGCTAGTGAATGTAATTAGTTTCGACCGACAGAACAATTTTGTATTTCGCCCTTTTTAAAAGCAGTAAGGTCTAGCTAATTTGTGCGCACATTAATTATTTATCGAACACTTTCATTTTTCAACTAATATAAATATCAGTTTAATTTCTAAATCTTTATTCTTGTTATGAAACAATAAAAGAAGAAGAATAGTATTGCAGAGAAAATTAGAGAGAGAGAATTCTTATTGATTTGGGATGAATTACAATGGAATAGAACCCTCTATTTATAGGGAGAGGTTGACTTAGCCACCAAGTAATAAACCCTAGAATCTCTCTAAATATGGACATTCACCATAAGTAGAATTCTATTTATAACACTCCCCCTGAATGTCTATTCAACAGATAATGTGCCTCGTTAAAACCTTAACTAAAATAAAACCCAGTAGGAAAAACATTCTAGAGAAGGAAAAAGAGTACACATATCTAACAATACGCCTTTTGGTTGCCTTGCTAAAAACCTTGCAAGGAAAACTCGATGGGACAAAACCTTGTAAGGGAAAAAGAGTACAACGCGTATTAACTCCCCCTGATGAGAGCATCAATTCACATCCTTGAGCATTTGCATTCCAATCTTGTGCACCATCTTCAAAAGATCTTTGGTAGAGATTTGATGAACAAATCAGCCATAGTAACTTGAATAAATATATTGCACCTTGAAATCATCATTCTTCATAGAGATGAATTGTCTTCATATGATCTTGTTGGAATCGTTTGTTCAATATCTTCACATAGAGGTGAAAACTCTTGGTATCATATTATCAAGCCTATAGTTACAGCAAGATACATTTGTGCACAAATTGCACTGAGGAAGTAGTACTTCAAGATCAAGAATTGTATATACTTCAAGCGATTTAAATCCTTCAAGGATTATCATATAAGTCATATAATAGACTTTAATTAGATGCATATCAAGTTTTCATGTCATGCTAGACAAATAAGATATCGAAAACTGATTGCACATATCATTGGCTTCATACTTTCAAGTGTTTGAACTGAAGGTCCAAAACTATATGTCTTTCGTATGAAACAAATTCTATTCGAATTGTGTCTCTTTCATTTGGCCAGTATTTTTGTGTCTATATTCGACATACTTAAGATCCTCATCTATACTTAGCGCTAACATATATATCGTCGACGAATATTTTATATCGGTTTCAATATTTTTTCATAAAGACATAACATAGAGATCTCTTCATTCATTTCAGGTACCTAAACCTCTCCTGAGATTTAATGAAGTGTTATGTCATGTAATCTTCTAGATCACTTGCCTCCTTTATTATGATCATTTTGATCATTTGCTCATCTTCTTTATCAAGAAGTTTATTTGAAATCGATTTGTCTATATGCTTTAAGCGTACCATAGACTTTGTCCTTCTAGGACTTAATATGAGCATTTGCAATGAGAATATAGTTACTTTCTTTGGGTCAGCAAATGCGTCCGGCATTTTCTTTGCAATATATTGCACATGAATTATCCTTTATGAACTTCAAGTTCATATTATCTTATTCGAGGATCGAGATGTATAAATAATAATTCATTCCATGTAACTTTTCTCAACTGTTTATCATGTCTCCCCCTCATGTTAGAAAAACTAACTTGTTTCCTCAACTTTAAGAATCCATCTTTGTGCGTTATGGTGTTAATCAAAATATACACCGCACATCAATAATAATAAGATGGAATTATTTGGTTCCTGACCCTGAACCACTTGTGAGGGGAGAAAATAATATACTTTCGTATATAACATATATCAAACTGATATAGTTAACTTTGTTCTCATAAGCAATTGTTTAGCTATTAAGTGGAGGCACTCAATAAATCATTTTGCTAAACCAGTTGTGATGTAAACCAACTTATCAAGATAAACTATCTTGAATAAAAAATATGGAAATTATGCTCGAAATTAAATTATTGAGCAAGTTACCTCGCAAAACACCATGTTGCGGGTTATTAATAATCGCACATGTAACCATCTCATAGATGCATCTTATGTGGTATACATGGCAGGTGAATGTGCCAATATTTACCTTTGATATTTCCAGCATTCATGGGATTCAATCCCAATTTTAGCTGGTATATTAATTAATGAGAACAGAGAACATAAGATAATTCGTAAAGAACTTTCTAGTTCTTTAATATTTACCCATGTGAATACTCTTTTATTTTTACACATCATACTTAAATTGATATGGGTAAACCAATTATGCCAACTGAATAAATTATCAATATTGATAAACTTCAGATTTACACCATGACGTGTGCAATTATTAATAAACTCCAAGTTTATTATGATATGAGTTTTTATATCAATAAACATCTACTTTATTGTGGTATTCTTTTATTTCTGTAGTACAAACTGGAGAATAAGCGGGTAACTTTTCACATACATATTACCCCGCTACAAGTTGTAGTAATAGAAGAAATTAAATCTTTCCTTTATTTATAGTCTCAGTATGACTAACCGCTTTCGTGAATACTTTAGAAACTCAATTAAGTTTCCCTGAGACTTACTACAATATAATGCCTTATTGATAATCAATTTTATTCCTCCAAAATAATAATAATTGGCTCTTCCAGAGCTCTTAATTAATCTTGTACTACCACATATTCATCAACATCATATGGTGAATATCTCTTTTAAAGGGAAAGTTATACAATTATAGTCATGGTCAAAATTATATGCAAGATCTGTTTCTTGCATTACTGTTATTCTTTAATAATCACATTACCAAAATATTTTGGCGTACAATAGGTACGTGACCAATGACCATTCATGCCATAATAATGACATTGTTTTCTTATATCATCTCAAACCTTCTTCTAGAGGTGAGTGTGGTATATTCACTACCACTAGCACGTTCATATTCTTTGAAGAATGAATATATATTCATAAATCAGATGTTGTCATATTCACATCATGAATGGACCATAATCATCTATATGTGCTTTATAAAATCTCATGTCAAATCAATGACAAATATTACTTTCACAGAGTGAAGGATTATTTTGAGAATCCTTATTATTCTCATTATCACAATGATGACGATTATAATTTCGACTAATACCACGTCCACATCCATTGATACCTTCACGGTAATAAGTTTGTCTTCTTTCAGACTTATCACATACTGCTATCACATTCTCTCAAGGGAATGAGAATGAAGCAAATTCAATGGGACGGGTATATATGCACTTCTTGTGCCCATAATCATACATAAATTTGATCATGGCGAGGCATAGAAATTTTACCACTTCAGGTGGTTATAATTTCTTACAAACTCCATTAGAGTTATAATCAAAATTTATCATCTTTGCTTGTATTTAAATTCAAATTATAGAATGTCAAGAATTTAAATGAGAAAAGTAAAGGAAAATACTTACCTTAAATCCAGAATTTAATCATGAAGGAGTTCATGGAACAATTGACAATCATTATGCTCAATCCCAAAGCTTCTACTCAATTGGTTAGAGTTTCGTGCTGATAACGTGTCATGAAACAATAAAAGAAGAAGAATAGTATTGCAGAGAAAAGTAGAGAGAGAGAATTCTTATTGATTTGGGATGAATTACAATGGAATAGAACCCTCTATTTATAGGGAGAGGTTGACTTAGCCACCAAGGAATAAACCCTAGAATCTCTCTAAATATGGACATTCACCATAAATAAAATTCTATTTATAACAATTCTATAACTTTTAGACTACACCCTTGAATACACGCATTTGATTGTACATTTTTTTTTTATTGGTTGAGTGTGAAATGAGCATATCTCCCTTGATTTTCCTCCTAATTTTTTATATTAATATTCCTTTAAAGTTGAAGTCAAAACTTAAAAAAGTAATAAAGAAATAGAAAGGAAACAACTAAACAGCTTATCTGGTGCGTGTTTCACGTCGAATCTGGACCAAGTGGGCCCAGAATCATATATCTAACCGCCCATTGCACGTCTGGGCCGTCAAATTGACCCGGTCCTCTTATGGCCCAATTGTCAACTTTTATAAAACTCCAAATTGACCCCCAAATTACACGTCAAATGTACAATATTTCTCCATAATATTTTCTTCTCACTCTTTTGGTTGATCACGTAGTAGCATATTCCTTCTCTGTTCCGAGAATGAAAGTGAACGCTGACGGAGATACTGGTGGTTCACCGCCGTCGACGACGGCGACGGTCACCGTGGCGGTGGCAGTTAAGAGTACTGAAGGGAAAGGTAGTCAGCGCGCGGTGAAATGGGCAGTGGAGAAGCTGTTGGCTAAAGCTCACCGATTTGTACTCATTCATGTGATGCCTACAATTACCACAATTCCAACTCCATGTAAATTCTCTTTCTTTATCATTAGGATTTAAGTTATATACACCGGCGCTGTATAGATTTTTTAAGGTATCAGTGAAATTTGTATTGTATGGTATTGTTACTTTAAATACAATGTTTGTTTTGATTGTTACTTAATTTTATTGTATCGTATCGTTAAATACGTCGTTACGTAATGATGAAATGTGCCACTTTATGTAACGATCGATTTGGTGTGGTCGCGTTGTTACCTTGTCTTTTTCTCTCAATTTCACCCTTTATTATTATCAAATAATTTTATTTTATCATTTACCCTACCTTTTTATATACCGTATCATAATTTTTCTTTATAATATTGCAAGCTTATTCATCATATTACCGGTGCATAATAACATGAAACGACGGCAGAATGACACAATCCATCCAAACATTGTATTCATCAAACGATACAGTACAATACAATACGATATGATACATTATGAAACGATATGTAACAACCATCCAAACAAGCTGCAGATTACCTACGATTTAACCAGTTATAGTAGGTTACTTACTATTTGTTCTAGGTTACCCATCAATGTTGTTGAATGAAGTTACTTGCAATTAGCTTTTAATTAACGCCATCTGTGCATAATGTTTTACGCCATCTGTCGTAGAACTTATACTCTTATCCGTATTAGTGTGGGGCATTGGTTCGAAAAGGGCGGAATAAATATACTCTATCTCGGCCAATTTATGTGGCATACCTTCCTTTTTAGTTCATCTGTTTTATATTTAAAAATAATTTAATTTTTAAATTCTCATTTTACCCTTAATGGGATTTTATAGCCGAACAAATGTCTATGGCTTGTTTTAGACCACAAACACCGTTATTAAGAAAAATTTAACTTTAAAATTTTCCACTTTATCCTAAATGAGTTGATTTATAGCTGCACAAATGTTTGTGTTCTAGACCACAAGTTTCAAAAGTCTTAGTCAAACAACGCCACGTAAAATGAGATGGACGGAGTAGTATTCATGTAGGTTTTGGAGTGAGGCTTAGTTGATTGATTGGTTAATTGATTATTGCATGTTGGAAATGCTTAATTGTTCAAGACGAAAGATGTTACCTTTGAATTGCTTTATTTTCATGGAAGTTAGTTGGCTGATCGATTTTGAATGAGGTAGTTGAAGTTGATTTTCTCTTTACCGTTACTACTTTATGTTTGAATGAGGTAGTTGAAGTTGATTTTCTCTTTACCGTTACTACTTTATGTTTGAATGAACAATTTTTAAATTTATTTAAAGGTGGTACCATATCTGATAGCTATTGGCCAGTTGCTATCTTTTTAGTTTTGAGTATTGTCTGTTTAGTAATGTCTATGTCTGATCAATATTATAGCAGGAGAGAGTACTCTTGTTGATGAGCTTGAGGCCAATGTGGTGAAACTATATATGGAGGATAAGAGGGCTCAATGTGAAGAAATCTTTATCCCATTTAAGATTTTGTGCAAAAGAAAAAATGTAAGCTTCTTTTTTTTAAGTACCAAGTTCTCCTCCTTTGATTTTGGTTTTCTGTAAGTGTATTTTATGTCTGAACTTCCTTTAGGTTGAGACTTTGGTGCTGGAAGGGAATAATCCTGCAACGGTGCTCCTAAAATATGTAAATGACTCTGGGATTAAAAGTTTAGTCTTGGGCTCTTACTCTCCCAATTACTTTTCCAGGTATGGCATAGGGCCAAGATGTCTTGGATTTTGGTTTATCACTCATTAAATTTGCTGGTGGAGTTTACCGCTGCTAATAATATCGATGTCTTGTTCATCTAATATTAAATTTCCTTCATGAATTACCCAAATTATAGGCCATTTTTATATTAATGTAGCTTAATGGTGGTTTGGCAATCTTGTTTTCTTTTGACAATAGTAGATTCTCTAATGCTGCAAAATGACCTTTTCCCGTGATGATTTTAGTGGAGATGTTTGATTCCCAATCGCTGCTTATGCTAAACTGATCAATTTTTAGTTTTTTACTAGGAAGCTGAAGGGATCAAGCGTGCCTTCAATTATCCTCAAGCATGCTCCAGAATGTTGTGATGTTTATGTGGTGTCCTCAAATAAGCTAATGACAAATTCGTTAAATCCCTTATTGGCTACTGGTACGTGGAAATCTTTTGGACTCTCAATTTTTTATCTTGCTCTCTGAAGTTCTCTCTTTTCTGCCGTTCAGGAATAGCAGTTTCTGACTTCTAATAAGTATTTGTATACTGTGAAACAGAAGGTGATCTTCCTACAATCGATAAACAAAAATCCAGTGCATCTTCTGCCTCCATAGATGGTGTCTCTCACAGCAGATCATCATCCCTTGCTTCTAGCCATCTGAATTTTCCAGCATTTGTCGATGGGGACTCTTCTAATTATGTCAGTCTTCAACACAAACTTAATCAAAATCTGGAAGATGTAACCACAGGTCTAGAGACAGTCAAGGAATGCCATTCTTCCACTTACTCAGAGCAGGTAACTTTGGTAGCTTTTCTCTAATGTTTTTCTTCAAGAATTTCTCTTAAAACTTGCATGCTTTAATATTCCAATTGTCATTTTATAGTATAATATTTTTTAGTACAACCACAAATATATTGATTGATGTGATACTTTTATTATGACATTACTGTCTATTTACAGTTAGACATTCAAGATGAAGTGGAGAAGGTGCGCCTAGAATTACAGACTACTTTAGCAATGTACAATCAAACATGCGAAGACCTGATCCATACCCGAAACAAAGTAAGCTCTTTATCTGTTTACTTTACCTAATCTCATTGTAAGCTTGCAGTGCTCGTCTTCCATACTGGAAACGACAATTTTTTTTGCTGCTGATCAGAATCATGCTCTCCATAGTCTAGTTGAGTTCCATTTTATTAATGGCTTTACACCATTCGTGAGGTATAGGATAAGTTGGTAATTCACTAAGCTAGATATTGAGCCCTCATCATTAACTTGTCCACTTCTACCAGCAAGCTCTGACATTACCTTGCACACTGTCTTTCAGGTCCAGTTATTTTCTTCGCAATACCTTGAAGAGTCTAGAAAAGTGAATGCTGCCAAGAAAAGAGAAGAAAATCTAAGGAAAATTGCTGCTGAAGAAAAGGAGAGGCATATTGAAGCTGAGAAGGAGGTCGAGACTGCAAGAAAATTGCTTTCAGAAGAGACTTATGAGAGGCAGATAGCAGAGTTGAAGGCACTGCAACAGTCCTTAGAGAAAAAGAAAACTGTCGATGCACTATTATCATCTGATCACAGGTATAGAAGGTTGACTAGAGAAGAAATTGAGGTTGCAACTGATTACTTTTGTGAGTCCAAGATGATTGGTGAAGGGGCATACGGGAAAGTTTACAAAGGCCATCTTGATCATACCCCTGTTGCCATCAAAGTTCTTTGTTCCGATGCATCCGAAAAGAAAGAGGAATTTCTAAGAGAGGTGATTCTTCAAGCTTTTCTGTTTTCTCTTTCATTTCGAGTTACGCAATCTTAAACATGCCTCCTTGCGCTGAAAAGTTATGCGTAACGTAGTGGAAATAACCAAGAGGTTGGAGGCAAAGTGAAAATAGAGCCACTATTGTTTCTTGGGTGGGGCTGGGGTTTACCATATCAATCCCTGCTTGCATTCATAAGTGTTTTATTTTGTAGTCTTAAACACCTTCTATAGTATTATTATCAGCACAGAACAAGAGTTCCAACTTCACACCTTACATTCCTTGCCTTTACTAGAAATCACCAATCCAAGACCCTTTTAAGTATCTATATTCCCTGCTCTGGCAACGGAGTTGTTCACAATGCATATCAACGTCATCCCACTATTTCTTTTCTTTTTCGGGAAAAAATAAAAATAAGCTCAAAATGCCATTAACATTAGACGTGGTGTTTGATCTATTTTTTTGATGTCATACCATCCCATTGCCACATGTTACACTATTTGTCCTGCTAATTCTCTTCACTTTAATATGTTTATTGACAAGCATTCTTAGAAATATTACGCAGCAATGCATCAGGTATTTTATTTGTGCACATTTATTTTGTTTCATGAATATATGGGCTGTTTACCAGATATAGTTGGTCCCAAGTCTAAGTCATTTATAACAGATTCTTTCAACTTCTGTTGATATAATAGTGTAGATCATTTGTAGGTGGAGGTTCTTAGCCAGTTACATCACCCACACATTGTTTTACTGCTTGGAGCCTGCCCTGAAAATGGTTGCCTTGTTTATGAGTATATGGAAAACGGAAGCCTGGAAGATTGCATTTTGGAACAGAACAGCAAACCATTTCCCTGGTTTTCTCGATTAAGGATACTGTTCGAAGTGGCATGCGCTCTTGCATTCCTGCACAACTCAAAGCCTGAGCCTATTGTTCATCGAGATCTTAAACCAGGAAATATATTGCTGGACAAAAATTTCGTGAGCAAAATAGGAGATGTAGGTCTAGCAAAGATTATATCAGATGTTGTCCCAGAAAGTGTTACAGAATATAGGAACTCTGTTCTGGCTGGCACCCTTGGTTACATGGATCCAGAGTATCAAAGAACTGGCACACTCAGACCAAAGTCTGATCTTTATGCTTTTGGAATAATAACACTTCAATTACTGGCTGCTTGTCGTCCTAATGGCCTTATAATGATGTTTGAAAATGCTATAAATAGTAATTCATTGGTTGATATACTTGATAAGTCAGTTCCTGATTGGCCATTAACTGAAGCAGAGGAGCTTGGTAGGATGGCACTAAAATGCTGTAACCTTAGATGCCGAGATAGACCAGACCTCGAGACTGAAGTTCTTCCTCTTTTGAAAAGACTTGCTGAATTTGCTGACATGCATAGCAAGGTGGAGGAGAACCTTATACAGGCACCTAATCCATACTTATGCCCAATCGTTCAGGTGAGAACTGGAAATTACAGGCACTTAAGTCATTTCTACTGTAGTTTTTGTGCATGTATCTCATTCTGCTTTTTGCTCTTGTATCGTGCATCATCTTTGCAGGAAGTAATGGAAGATCCACATATTGCAGCTGATGGGTTTACATATGAGCATAGAGCAATAAAGTTATGGCTCACAAGACATAGTGTATCACCAGTTACAAAGCAGATACTGCAGCACAAGCTGGTCACGCCAAATCGCACATTGCGACTTGCTATACAAGAGTGGCGATCGCAATTAACATCGTTCAGACCCAGATCTTGAAATAGGGTCGCAAAGTGCATGATATCAAGCCAAAAGGAGGATTGGAAAAACCAAAAAAGAAAAAAGAATAGATTATTAATAGAACAAAGTCAAGTGTGTTATGTTCATATACATCATTCTAGTTTACATTATCAACTGTAGTCTTTTTAAGTATTGTATAGCTCCTAATGGTAGGGAAAACCTAAATGTAAAGAAAATGTAACATAATTGTGAATGAGATAATATATTCTGATTGCTTTCTTCCAGTGGAAGAGTCTGAACTATATCCTTGCTTTCAACAAGGAGTAGCTGAAAGTTATATGTAGCTAAAAAAAAAAAAAAACTCTCAACATACTGTATTCTTCATTTGGAAGCAAGGGAAAATTTTTAGTCTTGGGGATACATTGACAATTTGATATTGCCATACTAATTGATTTTGAAGTACTAGATTGTTGAAGAAAGTGAATATGAATTTGACATTAATCAAAGGAGGTTATTACAATGCAGAATAGGATAACAAACTTCAAGACTTAGAAATGACACCACATTGCCACTCTAAAGGACTGCTATTTAGAAATTAGCCAGTGCGTCAATTTTCCAGTTCAATTTTCGGGTACAAAAATGTCCTGAATTGTCCTGATTTTTAGTTTAAAATTTCAGGACAAAATGAGTACTGATTAATCTCTAAATAACATCCCTGAGAATGGCTATCTGTGCACTTGCCATGTATTTTAGAGTAGGAGATCCTCAACTCACGATTTCTATGATTAGGACTAGTAGATGGATACGCCCTGTGCAAGCACAGGCCCAACATTTACATTCTAAAGTGGTTGAATAGAAAAGGAATTTTTACCTCCTATAGCAAAGGTTAACACCTTATTTATTTTAAATAAATACCATTTAAAAAAATTATATTCTATAGATACCTTTTAAGGTTTATAGCAAAATATTTAATTTTGGTTACTTCCCAGCCCTAAGCCACTAAATTCGCTAATCAGTTACAATATTTTCTTTCTCTCTCTACTTTGATACATCCCATTCTCTTCCCCATCCCATTAAAATTTCCGATTCTCTTCCTCTTCTCTGTCTAGTTTGCTTGCGATTTTCTCCTCCATCGATATCCTCCATTGTAACAGTGCTTAAAGAGAAAGATAATTTTTTTGTGCATCACGGAATGTTTGATGCCTGACATTAAAAATCTACTTACAATTAGGGGTAAACCTGATTCTTCATCAATTTAATGTCAATTCTGGCCGCCTACGTCAAAGCGGAAATAAGAAATCAAAAGAGAAAAAATCCATTTCAAGAGGAAAGTAATGGAAAGCTGAATTAGTAGAAGTCACCCAGCCACTGCTGTCCACATTAGAGCAAATAGGCCTGCCCTGAATGGTTGTTGACACCATGATCAATTAGTCGTATGTCTTATTCTACCACTAAAATTCCGAGCACAACGCTCTAACGCTCTACATTGAAATTAGGGTTGTTCATGAACAAAGACGACGGAGTTTGGGGTTGAGCAACTTGATTTTCTGTTAATATATTTCAACGTATTTTCATGTATTTCATTGTATTCATTATCTTTTTTTTCATTGTAATTCAATGTATTTCGTTGTATTCACTGTCTTTTTTCCCATTGTATTTCAATGTATCCCGTTGTATTCTATGTATTTCATTGTATTCACTATCTCGCTATATGCCATGATTGTATTCATATATTTTTTTTAATTAATATAATTTATGTATTCAGATGTATTATATAATTTCTCTGAAGATTGCTATGTTTTTGGTGTATTTTTCGGTTGAGAATCTTTTTTATAACTGAAAATACAAAATTTATGTGTTATAATTGAGTTTGTTGAGTTATATTAGGAGTCTATTATGTTAATTGATTCACTTTCCGTTTTAAAAACAGTGTAATCCCCTATTTCACGCCGTGAATACAGTCAAATACAATAATCTGTCCAGCTGTAATTCCACGTTTCACTCCATGAATACAGTCGAATACAACAACTGATTAGCTGGACTTCCCTGATTCACGCCTATTTTTGCTACTGTATTCATGAATACAATAGCTTAAATACATCAATTACATCTTATAACCACAGAAAATGTATCTATAATCCGTAATATAGCCAATGGTATCTATAGATGACTAATTACTAGTAAAAGATAGTGTTTTATGAAAATTCCATGCATGATACATACAAGTTCAAAATAACAACAAAAATAACAACTAAAAAGCACTTTAGTCTGAGGATGTTCTTGTCATTTTCTCTCACAAAGGGTTGGGAATATTGTAGTCGTGGCCAGTGGCAGAGGCAGGATCTCCACGAAGGGGGTTCAAAAAATATTTTTTGTAGTTAGTGAGAATTGAACCCATGACCTTATATAGATTTTGAACCCCTTGCCCACTAAACTACACTTTTGGATTGTGTTAAGGGTGTTCAAAACTTAATATATAGAGCTAAAAAACAGATTTTGCCTTATATATAAAGTGTAATTTTTCGGCGAAGGGTGTTCGGGTGAACACCCTTGCGCCCCCCTAAATCCGCCCCTGGTCGTGGCAACTTATAAATGGTGAATCACTTGAAGCAGGTGCGGAGCTAGAGTGTTGGCTAAGGATTCGGCCGAACCCAATAACTCAAATCTTGTATTTGTCTTAGAATTTTATTAATATATACAAACTATTAATGTATAACCCATATCTTAAAAGGATTAAAATCTATAATCCATGAATTTTGGAGAGGCCGAAATCATTGGAGAAGTGAAGGCAATTGGGATCCACCTTTTATGGTCAATCAATCTTGCTGTAGTAGCTGTCCGTCAGACTGTCACCCCTCACCTCCCCCCCCCCCCCCCCCCACTAAAAAAAAAAAAAAACAGCGTTGTATATCTCATGCTCACATTTGAAAAACGAAAAATAAATTAACCACCAGAATAAACTTGAAATTTAATGTATGGTTAACACTTAACAATCCAATAACTAGATTCAACTATAACTGCAAATTAATGCATGCAGTATTTCTAAAGTGGCAACTTTGCTCGTAGGAATTTTAATGTTTGGATTGTACTCCCTCCTTTACTTTTACTTGGTACGTTTTGACTTTTCACGTCCCTTAAGAAATAATAAATGAAGTGTATAATTTACCATGATACCCATATTAATTGATGATATTTTATTGGATTTGAAAAAATGATTTGAAATGAGTAATAAATACTGTGGATATAACAGAGAAAAATAAAATTATCTTTTCTTGATATGCGTAAAGTGACAAGTAAAAATGAAAATCTATTTTTAATATACAAGCTAAGTAAAAGTGAATGGAGAGAGTAATATCCTTTTAAATATGTCTAGAGGATATGACTAAGTCTTGATGTCTAGCTTCTAATTTCAGCTACAACACTCCCTGCTTTCATAATCCAAATTTTAAATAAACATTTTTTCTTGAACTAATTTGCTCCAGTTCTTTTTTTTTTAGCAAGATTATCTTGACTTTTTTGCTTGACTGTAGCAAGTTATTTGACAGATTATTTCAAGTTTGAATATAAGCTATATGGCAATCATCTTGAAATAGGTTTGTTCTCTAGTGTTGGATCACTTAATTAAAGATAAAATAATATAAAATAAAAAAGAAGAAGATAGATATAGCTCCAACTTATCCATAATCAATTCATCTCTTCTTCTAATGTTTGACAAGGTATTACTTCAATTCTCATCATCATCCAATTAAAATGCTTATCTATAGGCAACATTAGCAAAACCGGTGCATCCCCTGCTCCGACAAGCGGCGGTTATGTTGGTCGAACTCTTTAAAAATACTATTAAGTAAGTCTTAAATTTTCCAAAAATATTGTATATTTGAAAATTTTGATACAAATGTAATAATATTTTTGAAAAGTCGGAGCAACATATTTCAAGCGGCATTGACACGGCAGAGTCAAACACTGTGCTCCACTTGTCAAATTAGAAAAAGGAGAGAAAATATCACTCATTTCCCCCAAAACTCAAAGCCCCAAAGAGCTGGCCAGCCTGTTTCCTACCAACCACTGGCCCCACACCTTCCCATGCCTACCAATAAAAATTGCGTTAAAATAATAAGTATTTCTTCATCTTTAATCAGATATTTTGAACTTGAACTCTGAATATAAATTTACTTTTGATAGAAATTACTTTGCCTTCGGTATAACATTTTCCGATATAATTTCGAATTTAGTCCGATTTCAATATGAGTACGGAAGACCGAATGAGAAAACAAAAGAGAAGGCCCCAACAAAACCAATTGAAAAATGACTCTCACATGCAGCTCCCAATGGTGGTGGACCCAAAAACTTAACTCTCACCCAATTTAATTATTCTTCTCTTTGTAAGCACTTTTATGATTTATCAACCTGACCTCGTGGATATTAACACTAAAGACTACTAAAAATGGAACAATGACAATTGACAGTCCATCGCAAAAAAAAAAAAAAAAAAAAAAAAAAATAGTAATACAAAGTCCAATCCCATGTGATTTAACACCCTGGAGTTGGACCAAATCCACCTAATCTTCGATAAATATATAAAAAAACAAATTGTTAGAATTTGAAGATGTAACCGATTTGAATTGCTAGTTGGCAAATATTAAATTAATGGACGTTTAAATCAAGAGTTAATAAAAGGCAAAGTGCTAAACAACTTTATATACTTCACCAGTAGACTATCCAACAAAAAGAATGAGATAATACAAACGGTCAATTCCAATTTCCCAAATCACTTCATGGAAATATTCAAATTTCTCAACTACCTTCCTATAAAATCATTGCACAAATTTTCTCAACATAATTTCAAGAAAAAAATAAAATAAAATAAAATAAAGACATAACAGTCCCCCATCCCAAACCTCCAAATATTGCCTGCTCCAACCCCCTAAGTATCATTTAATACAATTTACTTACGTTTACTGAGAATTTTTGACAAAATAAATCACACCATCCATTTTTGTATGTTCAGTCTGGTATCTGATTATCTCGATCCTAACAATTTTATGGTGTAACACCACGAGGCGAGCCTCTAGACTCATGAGGTGGTGTTTGGCTTTCGGAACCTTTGGATGGATCATCCGAAGATTGTCGAAGACCATCATCTCTATTCATTTCTTCAATCATCCTTACCGCCTCCGCCATTGTAGGTCGTTGATCAGGCACAATAGCAACACAAGCCATTCCGATCTGAAGTAGTTGTACCATCTCTTCTTCCACATTATGGTACCGCATTAGCTCAACGTCGAACACCTCTGCGGTCCATTCTTCCCTCACGACGCTCTGAACCCATCTAGGCAAATCTATGCCCTCTTCACCAAGCGAAGCTTGGTTCGGAGCTTTCCCCGTTAAGAGCTCCAAAATCAATACTCCGAAGCTATATACATCTGATTTAAACGTGACCTTTCGTGTTTCAAGAACCTCCGGTGCACGATATCCTGCAACACGGTGGTTGTTGACCGGTGTCGCGGTGGTGGAGAAAAGAGGGTTTAGTCCGTAATCGGATACACAAGCATAATCTTGGTTATTATCTTGTTTAAGGAGAACATTTGAAGCCTTGATGTTTCCATGTACAATTTTTCCTGAAATATGAAGGTATGAAATTCCTCTTGCTGCACTTAACACTATTCTCATTCTACTATCCCAATCAAGTGGTGTACGCCCTGATCCTCTACTACCTACAAAAATAACCAAAGTACACATTTTAATTAGATAACAACACCAATGTAGAAATGGTCTCTTATGCAACAACAACAACAACAAACACAGTGTAATCCCATATAGTGGGATCTGAGGAGGGTAGAGTGTACGCAAACCTTACCCCCTGCCTTATGAAGGTAGAGAGATTGTTTCCGATAGACCCCCGGCTTTAAGAACAGAAATGGTCTCTTATAATCACTTACAATTTAAATAAAAAGAATGACCGTTTTAGATCTCTATTGTGTTATTTTCAAATCTCATATGTGCAAAAATGAATATCTCTTGTAAAAAGGCATAAAATTAAAAATAAATTTGCAATGCCAATGCAACTTAATTGCCTTCTTGGAGTTTTCAGTCAAACAAGTTGGGTTCAAAGTAGTTGAGTTAATCAAGAGCACGGAGTCTATAATTAGCTTTTCCTTTTGTAACTTTATTTTCACCAAAAGAAGAAAATGGGGGACAGCAAGAATCAATGGACAATAAAGAAAAGCAACGGAATAATAAGATTAATAATAATCAGACAATTATAACCACCAAATAACTTAAAGCCAAAGTAATGTGAGCCTTTTAGGTTTACAAGTAAAGTTTTCAATATAGCAATTACTACTAACATCATGACTTGCAAAAGTGTGGGATTTGAAAATCAAATACTTTGTGGTTGATTTTAAAGGTCTCAACTATCACCTGATTGGACTGGTAAAATTGTTGTCATGTAACCAAAAGGTCATGGGTTCAAACCGTGGAAACATCCTCTTGCGGAAATGTAGGATAAGGCTGCGTATCCTTGTGGTTCGGTCCTTCTCCGGACCCCGCGTATAGCGAGAGCTTAGTACATCGGACTGCCCTTTTTTTTTAACTATCACCTGATTACAAAAGTGGTAACCATGCTCGGAATAGGTGGGGCAACCTATACTGTGCAGACTCTTCAGAATATTGTTGTACCCTTACGGGATCCTTCGAAAATATACTATTTTTACAAATCCGACACGTACCCGATTATATTTTCGGAAAGGCCGAGCAACATAGGTCAGAAGCAATTACAAAAAAGTACTCCCTCCGTTTCATATTAAATGAGGTACTTTCCTTTTTAGTCTATTCCAAAATAAATGACACATTTCTAAATTTGGAAATAATTCAACTTTAAACTTCTCATTTTACCATTTTACCCTTAATGAGAAGCTTTTATAACCACACAAAAATCATGGCCCCACAAAGCTTTACCCCTTAAGCTTTTAAGACCACAAATTTCAAAAGTTTTTCTTTTTTTAAAAGGCAAACATTTGACAAGAAAAGAGTATTCTTTTCCAATTTTTTTATTCATTTCATCATTTTAAAAGGAACGGTATGTCGGTAGGGAATCATAATGGTATGTTGCAATGTAACGTTGGTTTCATAAAAAAAAAATAAAAGTACAAAACGTAACAAATACGAAATGCAACTGTACAATTATTCTCAAAGAATGTATCTATAGATTAAGGAATATCTGAAAAAAATGTTTAATTATATATCTCTTAAAAGGGTGAATAGTTTATTCTAAAATTATCTGTTAACAACTAGCAAAAGAATAAAATAAGTAGGCACCAAATTTAAATAATTGAGAGAAACAAAAAAAAACATAATTCCAGTTCAGAAGCGCTTTAAACTATGGTTATAATGTGAATGTGTACAAGATCTGCACGTGTATAGATTGAAGACACATAATATTTTTTTAAAAAAAAAAACAAACACATAAAAAATCTTTTTCATAGCTGTAGCCCACCCAAAGTTAAGACAAACATTTTTCACGAATCAAAAAGTCCCTTAAATCTAGCAAGGATTTTGAACATAACATTAAGTAGACGTTTGGATATAAAAATTGTATTTTTTTAAAAAGTAATATTTAAAATTTAAATTATGTTAGGACATGCAATATTGCAGCTTGGAAAAAAGTTGTTCAGAACGCTATATTAAATATTAAATTGAAGTGCAGAATTTTCATGTACAAACCCGTTTTTTTATTTTGCTATAAAAAAATCTGGAAAAAAGGAAAAAAATCTATGAACAAAGGGGTCTTAAAATCAATTTGTTTAAGCTATTACTTCCCAAAAGTACCAGAATGATTTGTAATGAAAAATCAGAGTAAAACCAACAAAATGCTATATTAAATTGAAGTGCTGAATTTTCACCTTTAGCAAAAAAATTCAGAAACCAGCAGCAAGAATGCAGAAATATATAGGAAGATTGAGCCAAGAATTGAAGCTACTGAGTTCTACCAAATAAAAAGGCAGCCGGGTGCACTAAGCTTCTGTTATGCGTTCGCAAAGGGTCAGATCACCAGGGTTTATTATACGCAGTTTTACCCTACATTTATACAAGAAAGTATTTTTAGAATCGTGACCTATCACAAGGGTCTATTATACCTAATCTTAATCCGCATTTCTAAAAAAAATTGTTTCTACAACTCGAATTGATCTCATGATCACATGGCAGCAACTTGAGTTCCACGGAATCCATAACATAATTAATTAAGCTAAAGAAGAGAAGCATACCGTGAAGAAGAGAAGACAAACTTCCAGCAGGAACATAATCAGAGACCAACAATTTTTCATCTTTAGAGTAATAAAATGCTCTTAAAGGTAGCACATTCTCATGTTTCATCTTCCCCAAAACATCCATTTGTTGTTCAAATTCTTTTCTTGTAACCACAACATCCTTAAGCCTTTTCACAACAACTGTAGTACCTTCCTCAAGAACAGCTTTATAACTTGTACCAACACTTCCTTTACCTAACACTTCAGCTGATGCTCTCAACAAATCTTCAAGATCAAAACTATAGCCTCCTCCTCCATTGAAGAAAACAAGTTTATTCCTCTCTCCTTCAGCTGTTAAATCGTCTTTTGACGATGATGTTCCTGCCTCTCCCGCTCCTGTGAATGCTGCTGCTGTCGTCGTTGGCGGCTTCTGTGTCTTTGTAGTTGACTCTTTCCTTGTTAATTTTCGACGCAAACATAGGAAAAGGAATAGCAATAGTAGTAAAAGCCCAAGCCCTGAACCGACAGCTATTCCAACAATGGCAGCGGTTGACAGTCTCTTCGATCTCTTGAATTTTGGCTCTATCGAAGAAGGTGATGGAGAAGATGACGGAGAAGGAAAGAATGGAGTACAAGGCGGCAATGGACCACCACACAAATCAATGTTACCGGCAAAAGATGAAGCTGGAAATTTAGAGAGAGTCGTAGGAACCGACCCATTGAGTTGATTATTCGACACATTGAAATCCACAAGTCCCGACGGATTAATACTAGGGAGATTCCCAGTGAAGCCATTGTTATTCAACAAAAGACCCGTTAAATGGGTGAGATTGTTAATGGAGAAGGGAATATTGCCGGAAAAGTTATTCGATGAAATATCCAACCTGTTCAACCGGGTTAACCCGATTAGACTCTCCGGAAACCCACCGGAGAACCGATTATTTTGCAGATAAAGACTACGAAGAAGCTCGAGATTAGAAAAATCCGAAGGGAGAGAACCGGATAACCGATTCGCGTGAAGACTAAGAACTCGGAGTTGACTCAGTCGACCTAAAGTATTAGCAGGAATTTGACCAACAAGACCAACAGCAGGAAGCCGTAGTGAATAAACAGACGAATTTGTAGAATCACATTCAACACCAAACCAGGTGCAGGCGGAAGATGAAGAGTTCCATTGAACACGATTAGCGTGTGGGATTTGAGAAAGGAAAGCAAGGAGAGCTTGCTTTTCCTCTATAGGTTCCGATACTACTTGGTATTGACTCAAAATTGAAGCAAAGAACAAAGTACAAAACACAAACCTTGAATTTGAAAACACCGCCATTGTAAAAGAAACAAGAATGTAATTCAATGGATTATAATCAGTACTGCTATGTAGATAGTGGTGGTTTCCGGCGAGAAGAAGCCATAGAGAGAGAGAGAGAGAGAGAGAGAGAAAAAGCAGAAGCGGAAGAGTGTTTAGAGAGAGAGAGAGAGTGAAAAAGGGGAAAGGAAACGCTTTATGTAAGGGAATTATTAGTAAGACATGTGAATGCCTTTAAAATTTACAGTCCTTTCACTTTGTCTGTAATCCAATATTTGGCATTTTTTTTTTGTTATTTTTCTGTTAAATATGTTTTTGGTTTTTTTTTTTTCCTTTCTCAATTGGCTTTAGTTTTGGTCATGGGGTAGCGGGAGGACGGATTGGGTATTTACCAGCAAAGGACCACATAATGCACCTTTATGAGTGGGAAGATGCTTCTTGTCGTCAATATAGTAGGTTTTTTTTTTGGGTGGGTGGGGGGGTGGGGTGGGGGTGGGCGGGCAATGGGGTCAGATTGGTTAGTCCGGTGCACAAGATACCCACGTATGGTCCAGGAAAAGGTCGCATGCTATGGGTATAATGTAGACAATCTAACCTAATGCAAGCATTAGCGACTGATTTCACGGCTTGAAACCCCGACTTATAGGTCACATAGTGACAACTTTACCTTTGCTTCAAGGCTCTACATATGGGTCAGATTTAGTGGCGTAGCTAGAATTCCGTCAAAAGTATTTAAACTTTAAGCAAATTATTAAGTGTACCAAATTTTTAGATCAAACTACGCAACATTTACCTAAATAATAATTTTTTTAATAGAACTATAATTTTATAAATCAAAATTAAAATAACAAAAAGACAACATTAGAAATTTTACTAATAAAGGCAAGCATAAAATCAAAGGAAAGAGAGAGTCAAGAGGATTTGTAGTTTGTAGAGAGCTTTTGTTGAAGAAGTTTTTGTAGAGCTTGACTTTTAAATTATAAGATTTATTTAATAATTAACTTTTAGCCTAGGTACAAAATTACTTTTATGATTAGCTGTTTATTTCCACATAAATTTTAAGTTTTCAGAGTTATTTTATTAAAAAAAATTAATTAAAAAAGAATCAAATAGACCACACGTTGGTCTCCGTTTAGTTTTGGCAAATAAAATGGACAGAATTGAATCCGTGAACAACACATTACTTTGAACACCATAAATTGTTGGACTGTTTCACTCAATTGTGTTAAAGGTGCTCAAAATATTATATATAACCATATAAAATAGTATTTAACTTATATATAGAATATAATTTTTCGGCGAAAGGTGTATGCTTGATCACCCTTGGTATAAAATGGCTACGCCACTGATTAGATTAAATTTAAATTTGTCGGAAAGTTTCACTCTGGGTGCTCCAAATAATAGCAACTTCATATTCAAAACTCGAACATGAAACATATACGAAAAGATATTGGGTATTTATTACTCCATTGTAATTTTTACGTGTGTCAATATAATTTCTATATCTCCACCCACACGAAAGCCAAAAAGATATTGTAATAATCAAATACATTTACAAAAATCTACGACAAACTCACCAGACTGAATAATTTTTACAACAATACTCTTTCTTTCCCACACACAAAGCGCCAAAAAGGGTTAGTACACTCTCTATGTGATGCTATTTGATTAGTTTTGGAGTTTGAGAAAGAAAGAAGATTTTTGTAGTTTGTGATATGAAATGAATCATGGATATTTATGGAGTTATAAATCATTTTATTAAAAATATATGAATACTTTAAAGTTAAATTGTCGCCACATATAACAATTTGTCATTCCTCTTCTTCTTTTTTTTTTTTGGGGGAGGGGGAGAGGGGGGTTGTTGTGTACTATCTATCGCCCTCGAATAGTCTATTTGGCCAAGCTGCTCCAAGCTGAAAAACATTTTTTTTGAAAAAAAAAAAATACTTTTGAGTAGAAGTAAGCAGTTTTGGAGAAACAAAAACTTCTTCCCAGAAGTACTTTTAAAACAAAATATACTTAGAAATATTTTTTAAAAAATTGGTCAAATACTAATTATTGCTTAGAAGTATTTTTTTAATTAATTAATCAAATACAATAATTTTTCACGAAAATTAGTTTTGAAACACACTTTTCAAAATAAGTTAGATTTTCCAAGCTTCGCCAAATAAACTATAAGGCTTGTAGCACCGCGGGGAAGTCAAATTTGTGCTCATTTTCCTAGATACTGAGCTTAGAAGGAAAGAAATCTACGGCACTAAAATTTCTTTAGTTGAACTCCATGATGAGTAACAAACTAAATGAATTTATTATGTCAATATGGTGTCAAATACTTCTATTTTCTCCTTTTGGTGTAGAACATATCAGAACTTAGTTTCTTTCATTTAATTAATAGTTTGCTTTAGGAACATATTTCAACTTACACATTAGAGCCAGGGGCTGATCTACAACCTCATATATTAGTTCACGTGAAGCCAGTAACTTTTATTCAGGGTCGGCCCTTCCATAAAGCAAGTAAAGCAACCGCTTTAGGCTCCATATTTGTGGAGACCCCATTTTTTGTTACATATAATAGACAATGTATAAGTTAAAAAAAATATTCTGTAAAGTGAAAAAGTTTGATTTCTTTCTTTAACAAATATAGAGAAGAAGGATTTGCAACTGCTCTGATTTCTACCAAGGAAATTGCACTTGAAATGATATCGAACCCGAATTTCATAAGAAATGTGTGATATATAGGAAGTAACAATTTGATGCGAATGTTGATAATGAAATCTCAAAATCTTTCGAAGAGTCCTTTAGAGTTGATTACTTTTATACATAATAGACAAGGCTGGTTTTTCACTTCAAAATAGATTTGAACAATTCAAAGCATATGAAAATATTTTTGATTTTCTATTTGGCAGTAAAAACTAAGATCACTAGATGTTGGAAATTTAAAAAAATATTGTACTATTAAGGAAAATAGTACAATTAGAAGATAACAGTTTAATTGATATATTTAACCAAATAAAAATATTTAATTCTTTTTCAAATGCCTAAATTTCTTATGGAATAATATTAATAACTTATGTTACCGTTGCTTCAGCGGAAAGATCACTAGATGTTGGAAATTGAAAAAAATATTGTCTTAATCTTGAATGTTCCTTAAAGCATAATAATAAATTCGATATTGATGGTTTAAGTTTATTTTCTGAACTAAAAGTATTAAGAAAAATAATACAATTAGAAGATAACAGTTTAATTGATACATTTAACCAAATAAAAAGATTTAATTCTTTTTCAAAAGCCTAAATTTCTTATGGAATAATGTTAATAACTCATGTTACCGTTGCTTCAGCGGAAAGAAGTTTTCAAAATTAAAATTGATTAAATCTTACCTTAGAACAACACTGTCATAAGAAAGGTTTAATGGATTAGCTATATTGTAAGTTGAGAAATACTTATTATGAGTTATTGATTATAAGAAAATCATTAATAACTTTGTATCTAAGAAAAGTTATTAAACCTTTCTCATATATCAATCATTAATAACTTTGTATCTAATAACTTTGTATGTATATATATATATGATCGTAAACCAAATTATTATTATATTTTAACTTGAGATATTATGATTTTAGTCCAACAACACTTGACGAGAATGACATGGGAAAAGAATCCTTTTGGCACACATGCTCAAAGAATATATTGACTCCTTCCACTCTCCACAAGAAGAGCAGCTAATTTCAGAGACGGATCTAGAGTTATAGTTATTGGTTGGCAAAGTCATTAATTTTGGTCTAAATTTTATATTTATGTTAAGAAATTCATTAAGTATATATAAATAATTTATTCAGAAGCCAACAAATTACATTTATTAAAAACTAAAATCCATAAACTCCAAATTCTAAATGTGTATGAGCTTATTGTTTAATAGAGACCCATAACTTTGATGGACCACAAATGATTGAACTACAGTTTGGGGTTGCGATTACTCTTAGCCTGTTTAGTCTTTACCGCAATATTTAGTATTGATAGTAATATATCATAAAAACAAAGAGATAATAATATGAGAAAACTACCCTCTATAGCCCCTCAAAATTTTAATAGCCCATGTTTTGTCCTACTTACAAAAAATGGCCCTTCGGCCTAAAAGTATTGCATATAGTAGCCGAAAGGAATGAGTATGACAACATAAGCGTCTGTAGCTTAGTGGATAGAACGCATGTTTCCTAAGTTGAAGGTCGAAGGTTCGACGCCTGCCTGGCGCAATAGAGCAACCCCTTTTTGCAATGTATAAATATTGTATCTGTATGGGTCAAAATCTGATCCCACGATAATTAACGAGGCTAATCCCGTTTTAAGTTAATTCATGATTAATTAACGGCACGAACACTCAGGATTGACAAAGTTCAACCCGCCTCTAGCTCGGTCGACAAGGCCCTGGCCTACGCGCCAATACAACGTGGTTACGGCCATTTATCGCCAGCTCACGAAGCTCACAGCTATAAATACCAAGAGAGGAAACCCCAGAAAAGGGGGCTGCTTCTCGACCACTAGTGAGAGGAGAGAGAAACAAGAAAAGATACCCCTCTTATGGGAAGAGAAAACACCATTGTAAGGCTCTGAACCTCTCCATGGAGAGGCAGACCAAACAAATATTATCAATAAAGGTTTCTAATGCTTCTCCCCCTAATCGTGAGTTCTTATTTTCATGTCTTTCAATTGGTCCAACGGATTATTACGATTTGCTATGATTATCCCGGGATTTATTTATATTGTTTTGTACTCGTAAGATGTGTAACATTTTTTGAGCGAACAATTTGGCGTCGTCTGTGGGGATTTCATAGCAAAATCGCGTAGTTCTTCCCTGGAGCAAAAGAAAAGAAGCGCCAAACTCGAAAGGGAGCTCGAAGATCCCAAATCAAGATCTAAGTCCTCACTCTCTCTCCAACCTCAGATAGTGCAAGCAAGAAGAAGCAGTCCCCTCCTCTCCTAAGGGGAGGTCTCTGTAAGGCATGCGAGCTCCGGTCGGAAATCGGCACGGAGATATCTCGAGCCGAGATTCGCCTCAAGACAGCCTATATACCCTGGTTGGGAAGACAATGGATAAGCCGCTCAAAGTATCGAATCCAAAACGAGTTCCAATACTCGATACCTACCATATGAGACTCGGGCTCTCTGCCTTCGTCATCAAGAC